ATTAAGAAAATAAAACTCAACAAAATACTTCCTGTTTTCAAAAGAATAATTACACTTACTACAAAATTCTGAGCAACAAAAGCACCACTTTTATACAAAGAGAACAGTTATAACCATTCCCAGGAAAATTTAAAAATTTTATAAGTGGTCCTTTTACCTCATTTTCTTCAATGATTATCAGAGTACAGTAACGGTATGCTACCAATTATGGAGTGTGTAGATAAGGAGCAATAGGCTGGAAAACTAGATCTATTCCTTTTTTTATGTGCTACTTCTATAAATATTTACATCAAATTACCAAACTCTCTTCTTTAAATTAGAAATTTTACCATTCCCCCCAAAAAAAATCCCTGACCTGAGTAATCTTCTACTAAAGATTTAATACAATCTTTAAGAAAAAATCTAAATGTGGTATTTATGTGAAAAGAATTAGACATATACCAAAGAAGCTTAGTCTATAAATATAAATGAGAACTTTAAATATCCAGATCCCAGACTAATGCAAATATCAGTACCTTCTATGGTTTTCATAGCAATAATATAAATCATTCAAAATCTGCTTTTGTACACTTCCTGAGAGGAACTCAATGTCCCCTTTCCGGTTGGTCACCAACACAGAGATCTACCAATTTTAAAAAAGATTCAGAAATCTTACAAATAAAAGACAGCATTTCCCATTGGCCAGAGCCTCTAACAACACACACACACACACACACACACACACACACACACACACACACACACACAGAGCCCTCTTTCACTACAGTGTAAGCCTGCCTTAGCAGGCTCTAAAAGAGTGAGGGTAGACTCTGCACCAGGGGTCACCCTTATGCATTGGGAACACAGTGATGAATGGTTCCCCTTCTCACCCTGGCAGTGCAGGGCTGAGTCACATTTGTCACGTTCGAGCAGACTGCAAGGCACAGCGTCTTACTGGTCCACAGCAGCAGCTACTAAGACAAAGCATCTTTGTAACTGAGCTCTGCCTTTTCCTGTTTACTTCGTACTTTCCAACTACCTGCTCTTCAGGATCATATTTAAAACAAACAAATAATAAAAAGCCACCTTGGTGTAAGGCTTTGCTATGGGGAGATATGGATAGATGTCTTCTTCAAAATAAAAAAAAAATGAACCAATTTCTAAGTATTGGTTTATGCCCACCATAATAATTTACCCTGTAAGAACATTTGTATGGCTTCTTTAGGATTGGTAGGCTTTTATGTTGATTCTACACTAAATCTTGTTGATTATGCAATAAGTCATGTGTATCAATGTCCAACTCAGCTGCTAAGAGCTTTTGCTGCATTATTTCTGATAGCCTATTTTGCTTAGCTTCATTAAATGTATTAAGTGAATGTTTCACCTGCTGGGTGAGCAAATTAAGTCTTTTGTGGATTCTTGGACAGGAGCCCAAAGTTCCTAAAATGCTTTTGAAAAGAAGGGCTTGTGTTCTTGTGGCCTCCCCTACCTGGCAGAAAACCTCACTGGGTATTAAGAGTGAAAGTGGGAACTCTGTAACTAGCAAGATGAACAAAATGTATAAACATTAAACTTTCTACTGAGAGAACCGTGTAAAGCTATAAAGGAAGAGAACAGTATTGTTACACCCAATGCCTGCAATGATCATTTGAAATATCAGAAATTAAACTGGAGATGAAATTAATCAAGTAGGCCTCAGGACTTTCCCACCTTTATATTTTAATGTGCTGCCTTTTTGTGTGCCTGCATAGCTCACAGGCACTGTACATTTTCTTGGGAAGTACAGAGAGGAATTTGGTTTTCACAACCACCTTTCTCATTGATCCACTTGCTTGTCCTCATATTTTACAACCCAAACAGCAACCATGCGATAGTCAGTCAAAATTGGCCCTGTGCATTCACAGGTACATTTTTATGGGAGAAATAAATGATAGGGATTTTCCTCTCTTTAAATTTTCCTGATAACTCTTTGAAGGCTGTATGTGAAAGTTTTAAAAGGATTTTTAAAAACATGAATGGAAAGAGTAATTGTATCATATACATCTAGTATTCTAGTATCACCAAGTCTCTGGAAAGGCAGGACCTAGATTAAAGCCCGTTTATGAAATTACTACTCAGACAAATGTACATAAGTAAGTCTCTAGTCCAGTGTGGCAACACATGCAACATAGTTTTCTTGTCAGACAAAACACATTAATGTATGTGTTGGGGTTGCATGAATTCTGTACAGTATGCTTAATTACTTAGCACAATAAAGATTCAACAGATGCTATCATTCTTCCTCATCACAAATGCAAGCACAGCTCCCACTGTCCTCCTTGTCCTTCTTAAATGCTTAAGGACATAGAATCCCTAAAAGCTTAAATTTCTTGCAATATAGCCACGAACTTCTTTCCATGATTCTGACATTAAACTGAACTGCATGAGAACCAAATCAAATATCCCCATGAAGTCAACCTCAACTCTAACAACTGAATTTGATTTGGTTCTTGCCTACTCTGGCTTGTGACCAGAATCGTGGGATTCAGTTCCTGAGCTGAGGGCTGCTGAAATCCTACGAGGCAGCAGTGATTCAGTTTTATAGGAGAGGAAATCAATAAAACTCAAGTATTTTCCACAGAGTTCCTAAGTGAGAGAGCTGAGACATAGACCATTTCCGTTCAGCAACTAAGTTCATAACTTTCTACTTAATATAGCTTCATAAATTTAAATAATCTGTGAAACCAAATTCCTCCATAGCAACCAAGATTTTTCTACAAATGGTCATTTCAGAAAATCTATTTGCTAAAGATTACCTTTCACTGTTTGAGAATTCTGAATCACAAAGTTCCCTTGCCCCTCAGAAAACTTATATTCTGATTACTATTGAAATCTTTGATACCACCACACAGCTTCATATCTCAGATCGTTTTGTATAATACTGCACTGATTGGAACATATAAACAGTGTATAATCCTTAGCATAGCTTAAGATAGTAAAAAACATGGTAATTCTGTACCATGTTTTTAATACAGCAAAAAATGTACAACTAACTCAATGAGATGGACTATATAAATTAGACTTTTTATTTTTCATGTAGTAGAAATGAAATTTATAAAAATATCCTGTGGTCCAAATTATGACTTTTCAAGCACTGAATATTGACATCTTCTCCCAATGACACCTCAGATGTACTTCAAGACCTTGGAAGGTCCAATGAATCTTTCACTCTTTTCCACTTCCTTTCTGCTTGCTGCAATGTGATTGTCAGGCTAGTGGCTTATGAATATTGAGCTCTTCCAGTCTGCTCCTTTATTCCAAGTCTCCTGGAATCCACTGTTTTTATTGTAAATTCAGGAGATTATGCATGGTTGCTGTCAGATCAAACCAAATCATGAATTATGGTGGCTAAAACAAGAACAATAAATTCCTGCTGCTCTATGTGTTTCCACCCAGCAAACAGGCTTCTTTTGTGCCTGGTCTCCGAAACAGGAGACAAACTTCACTGCTTTATTTGGTCTCACTTTGTTCTTCATATCAGAAGACACTTGACACACAGAACTTTATTGCCCAACAATGTTCTTAGCACTGAGAACATACCAAACCAAATCCTGCCCTCGTGGAACTAGTCTTCCAGGGGCAGATGGAAAGGGTCACAGAAGAACCAAGAGTCGGAGCTGGCTGCGTGGTGCTCCAGGACAGCACTGCCTGCCCACCGCTGGCAAAAAGAAAGGAAGCCCGTGCTGTGTCCCAAGCCCAGAACTTTGATTCAGAAACCCATGGTTCCAGATACTGCTCTTCCTCCTTCATTATGACAACTGCAAAGAGTTGTCATGTTTTTGTTGGCATTTATTTGTTCATCTGTAAGGGGCAGGTGATACCATTTTCTTGGGCTTTTCACTTTCATAGATAAGCACTTCTGGACTGTGTTCATGTTATTGCATTAAGGACCCCGGCTGTCTTTCTAGTTTCTGTTTTCTAGTTCTTACTTCCTTTGACTAAGAAGGTAAGAAGAAGTTAGCTCTGCTGCTTTCTCCCTGGCTAATTCCTCGTGGGGCCCCAAGGTTCAGCTCAGGAGAAGTTGTGCTTGGTACATTTTGATTTTTGGAGTCAGAGAAAAGATTCTGAGACACATTGCTATGTTAGGGTCTCCGGGTCTCTTACAAAGGAAGCTTCAGAAGTAGAAGAGTAAATGAGGTAACATGAGCTTTTTAAGGCAGCGGATGAAATTGACAAAATGCTTTCCAAAAAGCCACTGCATTCACCAGCATTTGATAAGAAAGCCCTCCTTGAAACAGTTTGGCTATGAGTGTCATTTCCTTAGTTTATATTTGGACCAATTGTTTGCTAGCAGATACTTCTCTTTATACCCTACCAAGATGGGAAACTAGGGAACTTCTGTGTGACCTTTTTCTTTGAAGTGGAGAGAGAATATGTCATACATCCACATGAAGTGTATCATAATTCAATATATGTACACAATAGATAATAATGGTATCAGAATAATATCTGCTTTACTCTTAACAATTATCTTATAAATGCTCAAAACGCTAAACACAAAAAATGTTAGCCGTCGTATCAACCAAAAGATACAGTAAATCCAAAATGAAACATATCATCATATATTTATGACCATGTATTTGACTTAATAAAATTTGAACATACCTGGTAGCTTTCCACTATTTTTTCTACAACATGCTTCCAATGAACTGATATCTCAGAAGATGACAGCACTTTGACACCGACATCTGTGGGGGCTTCATTTGGGGCTAAAATTTGATAAAAACATTAGCTTTATATAAAGAAATTTGAATGATAAATTAGAACCATAATGCAATACTTGCAAAAGAAAATAAGTTCAGAAATCTTATCTTCCTTGTTTTTATTAATGGTCCTTTTTTCATGGCAAAACATGAAGCGTTCAGATTCATGAACGTTACTATAGACCTATACACACAAATGCACGCTTACCAAATACGGCAAGCTTCATGGTGTAAAGTAATGGCATTTAATTTAGCATTTCTGCCTTACCAAAATAAGAGATTTTGTATTCTAGAAAAGTGCTCATAATAATTAATTTTCTCTTACTCGCTGCTCAGATGAACTAAAGATGTATACAATATTTAATAAGACTTCCAACTTTTATTTAAGCTAAGGTCTTAAAAATTGTTTTAAGAGCCTTTGAAACAAGTTTTGACATCCACTGTTTCTTGGGCTCAGAAAAGCTTTTATATGTCTAATCTTCTGACTGGGCATCAAGTCAAATATGTATCAAAAAGGTCTCTGTGGAGAAAAACAAAGTAATTTACATCCCTGATGAAAATTACACAAAGAACTCCAGGAAACCTTTAAGCAGGGTGATCAGTAGTTAGTGTTTTGCACTCAAAGGCCATAATCCTATTTGATGTTAAAAAACATCTGACACACGAACACTGTTGCCTAACAAATCAAGGTGCGCATGGAGTGAGCACTGTGATTGATTTCTTAGCAGGAGAAGAAAAGATTAACAACTTCTGCAAGTTTCGGCACATGCAGGTTTTATGAGAGTCGTGAAACACTTAGGCAAGAAATGTAATTACCCACAAGTGGCCAAGCCTAGAGCAGAGGACAAGCACCGCCTTTTGCATAAAGATTGTATTAGCATAGAATGAAGGAGTAAAAGTTTCATACTGGATGAAAAGATAATTGGTAAATAACTTCTAACTTTGCCCTGACGGGTGTATTCACTTTTCTATTTGATTAAAATCAGCGATAGAGAATAGAAGATTTGGGGCTGGGGAGATGGCTCAGTAGAATAAGTGCTTGCCTGGCAAGGGCCTGAGTTCAATCCCCAGTTCTGAAAAAAAAAAATTAAAAAAAATATATATATGATTTATAACCAGATATCTTCCACTGGAATTTGATTATAGATTTACTATTATTATGTATTATTATTTCAGTTTTTATTCTTTCAAGGTGTTTTGGTGCACTAAATAGCTCATATGAGTGCTTTTCATGTTTGTATTTTAAAGTTATTTTTATTGTGTATAACTAAAGTATGAAATATGACCTTATGGGATACATGTAGTATATCTACGTTTACATAATCAAATAGGTTTTATGTATAAAAAGCACACATGAGATGAATTGAACACACATTCCATTTTTAATAAATATGAAAGTCAACAAGTTCATGACAGAGAAGGGCATAGGTAAGAATTTCTATTGAGTTCCAAGAAATAGCAGTATTTCGAGTAAAACGTCATTCAAATTGGGTAAATCGACAGATATAGTACGGTGCTTTCTCTCTAAGAGAATAGCCACATACCTCACATAGCTTTTACTTCCAAACTCCTGCCTTTGCGTTTCCCATACATGTGCCAAGAGAAACTTGGTGAAGCATGAGTTTAGAGGTCAGGGGCAAAGGGATCTGGATTTGCATTCTACTTGTTAATTATTTATAAGACAAGTGTGAATAAAGATGCTAATATTGAGATTTTTTAGTATGAATATAATTAAGAAAAATCATATTAGCTTAAGCAGGAAATGACAGAAAATAATGCTTGATTCAAATATGCTTCATCCCAAAGTGTAGGCCATTTAGCCTAGATACACAAAGTTCTCCATGATCCGTTGGGCTAAAATTTCCAGAAATGCAAAGAGAGCCATTATCGGTGTTAGTGTTTTCTTGAGTGGCCTATAGGACAACTTTTTCTCTTTCTAAGAAAAAATTACTTTCTGATCCCCTTCTCATGTCATTATATCTTTCTTCCCTTTCATAATATTCTAGTACTCTATTGCAAAATAAAAGCAGCATAAATGATAAAATCACACAAATTTCAGCCTGAAATTTGGGCCAATTTTCCAAGTAATATATATATATATATATATTACATATATATATATATTACATTGTATATTATATATTATACATTATATATTATATATTGTATTATATATGTATATGTTTTAGAATTTTTAAGTAGTAGGCTTCATGAATGCATAGCCATACTGAAGTTCCAATCAAATGTGGAGAGTTGGTGGCTATAAACTCAGGAGGGAAGGGACAGAAGCCCCAATCAATGACTGCAAGGATGGAAAAGATACTTATAATTAATGCGTCACTTATAAGGAGAGACCTATATAAGTTTGGGTCAAAATTACACTCATTTGCTAAGTGCAATGTACTATAGAAAGATCTTTGCAATGAGAGCCTGAAAGAAAACAAGTTAAATGTCTGCCGGAGAAGCCCCCAGTGCGGGCGGTGAGGTCTTCCTTTCACCTACCGTCTTGTGCAGAGTAAATGACAGCTATGAGGCTGTACGGTCCGTCACCCTTGTTATTGAAGGCTTTAACTTTGACTTGGAAAGCAGTGGAAGGGCTCATGGTTTCATCTTTATGGACATAGCGGCCAGTGTCTGGGTTGGTGACTGTCACTTTTTTCCACTCATCTCCATCAAACGGCTTAAATGCCACTATGTAGCCGAAGTTGTTGCCGTAGTGGTATTCTCTAGACAAAGGCTAACCAGAAGTCAAACTATTAAGCAGGTTTCTGTGATCCCAATGACAGGGGGAAGAACCCGATGAGAACGAAGACACACATGGAAGCAAGCTCTTTGCAAAAAATCTACTTAGTTCATACACTAGTGCTGGTTTAGAGGGCCAGAGCAGAACATGCTACACTGGGTGATGGCCTCATTTAGCATGAGGCATCCCTGCTAATCCTTGAAAACCCTGGACACTCATGTGCAGGGCCTGCCTACTTGTCCCTGCCTAAAACAGGCCCCTAGAAGATATCTCCCCTCTGTATTCCTGAGACTACTTGCCTGATCATGTTTTCTACACTGTGCACAGAATCTGCCATTTCTCCTTCCACAGCACTCAAAATCCTGCCTCCTTTTCTTGCCATTTCTCTTTGATGCTATCATAATCCAACACTACATATTTTATTTATTTATATGCTTCATTTTCTTATTCAATGACCAGAACACAGGAGGTACGAAGGCAGAGTCTCTGTCAATTCCCTTTCACTCTTTAACCCTTGCACCTGGTGCTGAGCTTCAGGCAATAGGTATGTACTGGCTGAGTGAGCAGGTTTCTCTGCAACTTAAAGACAGTGGGATGAGAATGATGCAATGGCCTAGAACAGTGGCGGTGAACCAATGGCACCTTGTCCTGCAGCAGGCTGCTCGCTATCACTGAAAGCTCTAACAGGTTCACCGTTACTGGTCTAGAACATCTCCATCATAATAAAAAAGAAAGTGGTAAGTGAACACAAAAGAGGTGATGCAAGAAAGGAGGAAGGGACAATATTGGTACTCATTTTGGGAATCTGGCTTTGGCCTCTTTCTGACTTCGGGACTCAAGTAAGCATTCACTTTCACATCATTTGCAGCAAACCTCAAAGAGCACCCCACATTTCATGAACCACATAGCTGACTATTTAGTGTCCTAGGCTAACAGAGCCTCGAGTCTAGCAATGCATTTTGCACGGGAACTACCCACTAAGCCACAAGCCAGATGACATCAAGTGTGTACTTAAGAACAGATAATAATTTAAGGCTGTGGATAGAGACGTCTCCCTTATTTCCAATGTATTTAGGGAAAGAAGTAGATTCGAGGTTAGGTACGGAGGTGACCTACAGTGGCGCAGCTCGTTCGCTTACCGCCCACGTTATTGTCAGCTCTCTGTTGCTTCCTCCGCCACCTCCCACATCCGAAGGAGCCACATTTGGTGCTGAAACAAATAAACAAATATTAGCACAATGGCAAAAACAGGGGCTCTGTACTGCGTTCTGATGGTCCAGTTTCATTTATGGCAGAAGCTGTGAATGTTTTCTTTCCCTACGAAAAACAAGCTGCATGCACGATCCACTCAATTAGAATAACAATGGCTCACAGTAGCTGGAATAATTTGTTTTGCTGCCAAAACAAAAATGGATTTGCTTCCAAAGGAAACGTGCCAGTTTCTGTCAGCAATGGAAAGTGAAATAAACTGCCTCATCACCTTTTCCTTTGGTGCCCTTCCATGTGCTATGGTTTTGAAATATTAGATGTACTCTGCTGGAAACTGTTGCATAGTTTTTATAGCTCTTACTTTAAACTCTGTAATCTTCTGACAATTTCCTGTTGTGTCACTTTCATGCTTCATTTTACAAATAAGTACTACACATTTTCTTTAACATTGGATAACGTTGCCCCACATATTAGAAAACATGAGAAACCTAAAACACCTCATGATGTTTCTTGTGCTGTCACTCCTGGCTTCTCAGTCCCCTCTGGTATCCGCCCTGTCCATAACTCCAGCTCTCCTCCCGATCTTCTTCCATCACCCCTCAGTCTCCATCTCGCTGGCAGCTTGTGCTCTGCAGGCCCTCTCTCTTCCAAGAACTTTCCAGCACTGCCACCTTCCTCTCAATCCCCAAGCCATCTCCCCCTCTCCCTTCACTAAAGTGTGCGTGAGCACCGACCGACACAGGGCTGTTCCTGTTTTTTGTAACAACACACAATCTGTTTCTATTTCTTCCAATTCCTGAAATCACTCTTTCAAAGATCACAGAATGGCTTTGAACTTCCAAGCTTAATGGTCTCTCTTTTGTTCATCTCCCTTGATGAAAGCCCTTCAGAGCAGATGTGTGTGTTGCTGGAATTTTGGACTAATTTACCTACTCCTAACCCTGAACCTTAGCCTCACTCACCCTCATCCTAACCTTCACTCTAATCCTTGCCCTAACTCTAACCCTCATCCTCACCCTCACCTACACCCTCACGCTCACACTTACCCTAACCCTAACCCTCATGCTCACCCTCACCTTCACCCTAGCCCTACTCTAACCCTGACCCTGACCCTCACCTCACCCTAGCACTAACTCTAACCCTGACCCTAACCCTCACCTCACCTTAGCACTAACTCTAACCCTGACCCTGACCCTCACCTCCACCCTAGCCCTACTCTAACCCTGACCCTCACCCTCACCTCCACCCAAGCCCTACTCTAACCCTGACCCTGACCCTCACCTTCACTCTAACCCTAACTCTAACCCTGACCCTGACCCTCACCTCACCCTAGCACTAACTCTAACCCTGACCCTGACCCTCACCTCACCCTAGCCCTACTCTAACCATGACCCTCACCCTCACCTCCACCCTAGCCCTACTCTAACCCTGACCCTCACTCTCACCTCCACCCTAGCCCTACTCTAACCCTGACCCTCACCCTCACCTTCACCCTAGCCCTACTCTAACCCTGACCCTCACTCTCACCTCCACCCTAGCCCTACTCTAACCCTGACCCTCACCCTCACCTCCACCCTAGCCCTA